ATCGTAGATCAACACCGACCTGTTCCGCTGTAAAATTCGTTCCCTGCATACCTGTCTCACCCTATCAGGGTTTGACTCCTCACGCAGAGGAAAGCTAAGCTGCGGACACTTGATCAACTCCTATACGAAAATCTGCGTTCACTTACCGTTATCAACTCATCAAACATGAACATTACGCGATGAAAGGAATTTAGCTCTGCGAATCAGGCCAATCACAAAGCAAATCGATATTTATCGCCACTGCTGACACAAATTGATTATCGACCTACTTTACTTACCTTCACATCTGTATCATTCCCACAGAGTTCGGACGCTCTACATATCTATCTAAATTTATTGGTCCTTCGACACCTATGCTGTACTTAGGCTAGTTCAATACACTTGTTCTCATTCACTAGAAGGTTCTCAACAGGATTGTACCTCATTGATCTTAGCTCCGCCCATTATCATGGTCACTTCATATACCATGGGCAACTTTTGCCAGTCTCTGTCCATTTTCCCTCCGGGCCCTGTATACTCCCAAGACTGTGAAAGCACGTACCACCTGCAGAAACAAGCTGCGTTCAGTTCAGGCACGCTGAGCACACTTGAGACCTAGTTTCTGTATTTACTGCCCCTCACTCACGTCTCCTAACTGGTGGAAACGCAATTTTTTATTCGGGTAACCTTCGTGCCTGGCATGCCGCGCCTACCTTGGACGGAGCTTGGCTTGAATGACCGGGTTTCCCAAAAGTCTGGTATACAGTGTATTCATATTCGTGGCGCCACCTAAAGTGTTGAGAAACAGATACATACAAACAATCCTTTTGTTCCCTAACCTTCTAAATAAATCTTCAAAAACTGGGATACATCTATTGGCTTAATAAGTGAGTAATCACGTATAATTGAGAAAATACCTTCTTACATGAAGTATAACATGCTTATTCAGTCATATATTGGCCATACAATACTCTTGTTTCGCCTCAAAATACAAATCATGAGAAACAAATAATTTTTAAGATAAATGTTGGCAGTAACTAAAAAATGCGCCGTTACTTGGTTACCAACTAATAACCTATCGGACGGCTTTGAATACAATCGTTCGGAGGAGCTAGGTGTTCTCGGCAGTATCAAAGACCTCCTGCAAATCTATGAAAGTGAGACATAACGGAATCCTCTGCGAAATCCTTCTGGCTCGCATGGCTCCTTCATCGAATGTTCTACCAATTCTTTTTGGGATGACGCGTGTGAAGAGTTTATAGATTACAGGCAGCGACAGATTTGGCAATAACTGCCAACGGCGACTGGATCTCCCTTTTTATACAGCAACACAGTATTGCTAGTTTTCCACGAAATGGGCACTTTGCATTTCGCCGGGTACCGCGTGGAAAGCCTGATCAGGGCTTTGACAATGACTGGCGGAAGGCTCATTAGATGTTCTGCTTTAATCCTGTCGGGAACGGGCGCCGTACAGTGAACGGGATGCCATGTGAATTGCGGAAGGGAGAACCATGGAGCGATATATTAGCCTTGCCTAAAATGGTGAGTAGGCGTGTAGACGTGGCTGTCGAAGAAATCCGATTAGGGTAGACGACCTTCTCAATTGCCCTTCAAGATGCAGTAGCTGTTCCGTCACGACGTCACGACGATGAAGGGAAGTCATCGTGGTCTTGCAATTGGCGAGTTCCGTCGGGCTTTGCGAATGCTCTTTGCGGTCTCGGAGGATTCGTCCATAGCTGCTGCTCCTCTTTCTTCCAGATCTTCCTGTATCGCTTCTCTGCATAATCTGCATGCTTCAGAATCTAGCGCGGAGGAGATGATGATCCGATCCGGTTAGAACTTTGGAACAACAGCGACGTCAGTACGGCAGGAAAATATCTAATTGAAGATGATGTGGTCTATTTCATTATGGAACTGTTCACCAGGTGACCCCATGTCCATCGCGAATGAAAGGGCTTTGTTCCTTTCTGTGAGCCCCGATGTAGAGCTGCTCAAACGTTTTCATAGGGCCAATCTTGAAGTTGAAATCACCGACGATGAACTCGAAGTATGGTCTTCTCTGTAGAGCCTCTCAAGATCCATATAAAACGCTTACAACTCCTCTTGTTCGTAGCCTGATGTTGGTACGTAAGCAACGAAGTCTGTTAGAGCAGGGCTTGAGCCATCTTCGCAATCGCAAACATCCGATTCGGATTGTTAAGCCTTCGTACGAATCAATATTCATTGCCAAGTGCGTGTTAACGAGAACAGCTGCGCCGCCGACGCCTCTACCGTCGCATGTCATAAGGAACAGTTCTTTCCCAGTCAAAATACATCAAGCGACCGTGCGTTGGAAGTACAGATCGCCGTCTTAGTCCTTCTCCCTTTTGAGCAGCCTGTTTTGGCCCTGAGATTCTAGCAGCCTCTCCCGAGCGATCCTACCTAACGAGTCGAGTCGATGAGCAGGATACTAGCTGCACCCACAGATTCTCCACACACGTATGCGTGGATACGCCTGCGGAAAACAGAAGGTATATCGACCAGTACAACAGAATCATTCAGTCCACCCCTGAATCCACCTGCGCCTCTGAAAATGCACTCTCACTCTCTCTCTGGTGACTTTTGGTTGCTGATTTACTCCCCTATTTGTGACCTGCCTCGTCGCTGACCTGCTGGGTTTCTTCAGTGAGAGAGAACCCTCAGTGGCTGCTTCCAGTGGTGCCGACGTGCCAGTCGAGGCAGTGCTAGGAGGGGGGAGGGAGACAGACGGGCGGTCGACGCGGACGCGTCGCGCCCAAGCCCCTTCCGAGGGCTAAAAATTAAGAAAAACAAGATCAAAAACCATTTGCGTTTGCCCTTCGAAGGGGCCATGCAAATGGTTTTTGATCTTGTTTTCTTTGTTTTCAGCCCTTCGAAGGGGATTTGGCGCGACGCGACCGCGTCGACCGTCCTCTCTCCCCCTCCTAGCACTACCTCGGCTGGCACGCCACCGGCGGGCTATGAAAGCACCCAGTGAAGGAGACCCGAAGAAAATTTGGAAAAAAAAAGAAAATTGAACGGAGAGTGTAAACATGAAGAAGGAATCTGGTAAATGTTGTAGTCAATTGCTTAGTCTTCACGGCTTCTGTAACTTTCGAAAAATGTCTTGTTGTTACTCTTCGTTCCTTAGACAGGTTTAACAAAGGAGCAAAGAACTGAATATGAAATAGTAGACAGGAAATAGAACACAATATCTGCCTATCATGTGATAGCCACCCTCCACTATCAATGAGACATGTGAAATAATAAATTCTGGAGGGAATGGGTAGGTACGTATGTCACCGTCAGCCAAGTGAAACTTAACGCCTTTCCGCTCTGGCTAATTCAAAGGCACATTTTAAGATAATTTCGGGGTGTCTGAATTAAGACAATTAGTGCAAGCAAAGGTGGAGTGGAGAATGATGCGATGTTGGCGGAAGAAAAACGAGAATCTCTTTATATATAAAGTGGTAACTTTGTGTGTCTGTTTGTGGGTCGGTTTGTGCGTCCTTTCGAAGGTCACGTAGGCACGATGAAGAGTGTGAATGTCACGTTAGCGCGATGAGGGAGCGGTTATGAAATGGGAACTCAGCCGATACTGTTCATATTGGTCCTCTAACAAGTCGTAGGTAAACGGTAGTGGGCATGCATGGTTCAGGCGTTAGCGTGCGTAGCTCAACAGGTAGGATAACTGCCATATAAAGAGTGTTGAGGCCATGAGTTCTACACTGTGCCATTGTGTACAGCTGACTACAGTATGCAAAATGTCTTTTACTATCGCCATACATTAGGACTGCCTTGGCGATCAACTGATGCATGTTTAACGTGTGGATCCCGGTGCGAAAAACGTTACCGCTATAGCCTCGTCAACTCATCTGAGAACTCCGCTTCGAGTGTGGAAGCCGCCCAAGCTGGTTCTGGGCCCCTTTTTCAGCCCTATACAATTAGTTTTTTACTTGACAGCGTCCTTGAGCTACCCTTGGCGATCTCAGATTGATCCTAGAGGGTGGAGAATTTCAGAAACCATTTTTTCGTTATCTTAACAGAATGTTCTCTTCACTTCATGGGTATGAAGGTTCCCTGCACGAATGGACAAGCTTCGATTTTGAAGCGTCGAGTTCAGAATTCATATGGAACTTCATTTGGCAGAAAAGGCTACTTACTCTGAAAAAGTGAGCTTGCGATTTTTTGAATCTAATTTTTTTTTACCTTCCGTCGCAATTACGCTCTCAATCTTCCTGACATGACGGAACTGCTGGAGTTTCCAAAAGACAACATAAACATAACTGATGAGATGGCATCTACACGTGTATCTCTAACGATGCGGACACGAACTTCATGAATGGTGACTTGGGAACTTGTGGCTTTGTGACCAACATCGTATGCACAGGTATCCGGACTTCGGTGTGATCTTCTGGTTAACATAATCCTATCGCACTACTTGGGGTTAGTTTCATGAAACCCTATTTGAGCAAAACTATACATTATACATTCAGCCTTTTCTTGCATGTCTGGAGCCCGAATCGCCGAATCGATAGCAAGCAGCAACATGTACTAGTCCCCGCATATTGACCCACTACAAATGGAACAAAGAAGCTTCGGCGAGGAACCATACCTAAGGTACAGTTTCACCTTAACAACTCCCGATCATTACAAACTCGATTTCATGCAATAAGACAATTTTCCGCAATTCAAAGTAATCACGTAATCAGCAAGGCAACTAGATGCTAGTGTAATTGGACGCCTGACGCTGCTGTGCAGAAAAGATCCAATAATATCAATTTATGGATGAAAACTGTGGACACCATCACATGACCAATTATTGTTCAATCAAAGTCAATATCACCATATGTAGTGTTTCTTGTCAACCAATGGGCTTGATCCAGATGGAACTGTAATTAGCGTGGATTGCTTTGCAGATAATACAGATTGCAGAGATACACACACAGTCACGTTTGCCTCCCACATTCGGCCTTGATTTGACACCTTCAGCTGAAGTAAGATGATTGATTGATGGCAATACCTCAGTTCGCGTTCCTCCTCTTCTTGGCTGCAATTACATCAAGAATCGGCTGACGTTTCGCTTGATACCTAGAAAACAAAACCATCACAAAAGCCTATCATCGCGATCTAGGCTCAAATAAGCCGAATAAACGTATCTCCTATTATATAGGGGAGTAGAAAAAATTCCTAGTCCACCCGTGCTACCGATGTGCACCTCTGTAGAATGAATGTCAACCGCCGGAAAACGTTTTTTTCACGGACATAATAAGTCAGCCTCAGTTCTTATGAACACCTGTTTTTTTTTATTTGAACACCTGTGACAAAAGCTAGAGCATTCAATTAGATTGTGATTGTGGAACTATCACATCGTCAATCTAGCTGTAGAATCAAGCAGAAAGAAACGAGCGGCATGGAGTATATTCAAAAACATCGAGGAGGTCATGACTAAAATAAAGAACGTCGGCTAGCAACTCAATCTCTTCGATTCTGCTATCCTTCCGACCCTATCCACCTAAACTCACCTTGAGACAGTTACATGATTAATTATCATAAAATGTTATAAAAGCCTTCATATCGAACAAAGAACGCGGTGCAGAAAAGGTGGTGACGGCGAAGGTAAGTCAACTTCCTCCGTCTTAGGAGCATAAGAACTACCTATACGTGGTATCGCGTATACACTAACTCCAAGCAAACTTGGAATGCGTTCTAGGAGAACTTATTTCGCAAGTTTTACTAATGGGAGGGTGAAATAACACCTTGGGTAGAACCTGAACGATCTTTGTCTGAAGACGCGAGTAACGGGTCAACCACACAACAGATAAATATGTATCGTTATCGGTTGATGAATACTGGGGAGAAGCTGAATGCGCTCCGCACCTATAGAGGCGGCTTTGCTAAGAAACACCGACGAATCACCAGTCAATTACACAACAGACCGTTTTTGTCGGCACTGATTGATCTGCTTCGGACTATATCGATACAGCGTAATATTTATCGTAGATATTTACCAATGAATCGTCACTTATCCTTGGCGTGCAACCCCGATCACACATCAACGCGTCAGGGAATCATGTGTTCCAAAAACATAGCTTACCCCCTACTCATTTCAATTTGCCTGAGCTGTTCCAACTCACTACGTATTCCGATTTGGCTCGGCATTGCGAATTTCTCCTTGGGAACACTTGAACCCATCGCGCTTCGCCCACTAGGCGGCGTCTGTTTCATGTCATGTGTGTTCGAGTAGCATGGCTCACTCCTCACTTATTCCAACTTGTTAAGCTGTTCTAGAGCAATCTTAGTAGGGCATTATATGAGGTGATGGCAAAAGAGAAGCAGACGAACAAGAAAACAAAGGGGCCCTTTCATTTGTACATAGAAAGGATTTAGCAACTAAGTCCTTAAAAGGTCCCTTTTTTCCGAAAAAAATGGTGAGAAAAAAGTACGCTTGCGCTAGCCTTTTCAGTCCTAGAAATGGAAACTTCTCTCAACCATATTTCTGACTCGTGAGCCTAATTACAGATATGAACAATCGGAATAAGTGTATTACGATCACAAACGATCTCTTGCCACTTATGCAATACTGCGACCTAGTTCCGATACTCCGCGAATGTGCTGATGTGCAATAATATTGTTGCGTAAGGAAGATCATTCGCTACTAATGTTCTACCCGTGTAGCGTACCGCTACATTTCGCGGTCGAAATGAGGTGAGCTTACATTTTGAATTTTGGGCATTTTTCGTTCATTCCTGATAGAACGTCGGAAACGCTAGAGCGAAAGAGGCGCTTGGTGGGGTGGTGTGCAATTTACAAGCTTTGAACCATTTTCAGGCCATGAAAACGACGAGTCCGTCGAAACGCTGGCCAGAATAAAACAAAATTAATAAAGTCAAGAGCAACAGAAATGCCGAGGTTTCAAGATGAGAGGACTTGGAATTTAAGTTTGGGATACTTAGTTAAAGTGAAAGAATGGATGCGATGATGTAGAGAAGTGCAAATGTGGCGAAGAAAGTGGAAAAATCGGCGGATTTCAGAAATGTGAGGCTGTAAAGATGCAGTTCAAGTAAATGGTTGTACGAGATTGTGACGACGGAGGTCACGATCTCGTACTGCCCTTCAATTTAACGACATTTCGAAGCACTACATTACTCCAAATAAAAAGAGGACTCGGACGAGCTTCAGTTGTGTGCAGTTGCGTAAGGAACAGGCTACAGTGAGCAAAAAATGATAAAGATTGCTCCACACTATCATCATGGGTTGTGGCTACATGCGATCGAAATTTCGTGCTGTTGCGACCTTCACATAATTCATTACCACTACACTCCGCAAATTCTTCCATATTGCCAGTCCATGTTGTGGCTGTTTTTGTTGATATATGACACATTGCGATGTGCTTTGATCAGCGGCTAGGAGTTTCAACACGTGCTACATTGTGAATGGTACAGCTTCTTCAATGTTACTAGAACGCAGCCACTTCCGGTGTGTACGCCGGTCAAGCTCCAACTACGCGATATCTAGACCGTTTTTCGACCCGACACGTTTCCTGCGCTATCATTGGGACCATAGGTTCATCTAAAGGAGGAACCTCAGAGACCAACTTCATCGTGGACTGCATATTGGTGGCAACATTGAGAGGCTGCCACACATGGGCCATTCCTCCGAAATAACAGCAACTGTGAATCATTCTTTGTAAACGTGTCGAATGCTTCCCGTCAGATGCTGCCTAGTAGAATCAAAGACCAACATCCGATTGCATCCGATCGTTGCTGTAGTGCTCTGATTCCACACCTCATGCAGCTAAGTTTCCATGAGATCGCACTGACCTCGATAACCGGGCAAGAGTTTTTCGGGAGTAACTTCTTTTGGAAAAAACCAGTGGTTCCAGTTTTTCTCTTTCGGCGATTACGTAGAGTACATGGAATTCCGATTTTCCGTGCCCTGTCGAATCGTGACAACAGCTTCTTCTCCAAATCTGACCAGGTCCATACTTCAATGTTGTTGAATGACCTTGAATATTTCCGAAGTTGGGCTAAGGGAATTGCGTGTATTCTTCTACGAATCTTCCAAAGTTAATACATTCATCCACACGATTTCCTGGCAGTGGTTAACCTACGTTGACTCTCCTTCGAGACTCTCAGTTAATTTCTTTAGTATCATGACGACAGCCTCACATCAAGAGGCCAACTCCCTGAACCCATGTCGTTCTGATTCCTCTGCTATCGAAAACATCTGATTTCCTAACAATCACAGCTAACGCGCCGCTCACTTCTGTACAATCCTTCCAGATACAGCATCCTTAATGTCAACCACTTTTGATTCTCGAGGGGCATGTTTCAATGCTGGAAACCGTTCAGAATTTTTTTATGACTTTGCTGGTTTGACAATTTGCGCACGGCCCAAACGGACAATGAAGGTGAAAACGCAGATAGTCATCTAAACTGGATAAACCGTAACAGAGTTTAAAAATGTTGCAACGCTTTTTCTGTACAGACCTAATAGATGAGACTGCCTTACAAGGAAGGTCTTTCAGGACGTGGGATGCTTTTTGAAAATGGTTTTTTGGATGGTGTAGGGGCATGAGCACTGAGTATAGAACTATGGTCCATTTCCGCTAAATGGCCTTCTAAATGCCAAAAAAGGAGTGAAAATGATTTTGTCAGAAATTGCCTTTTCGACCCACTAAACGTCGTTTGTTTCGTTCATGGCGTCGACTGCCCGCATAGTAGGAGGCCCTAGTGGACTGGGCATTGAAAATAACCTGAACGGTAGTCAAAAAAGGGGGCCACATGTTGAAACATGTTGAAACGTGCGGGGAAAATTCATGTGTGCTCTCCACAGTGGAGCTCCTAGCGGCGACGGATGGCGTGGTGGATAGCGATGTGGACTTCGAGCTGGGACGGCTGCGATGGTTTGGTGGTTCGGATGCGGGAGACGCTACCGTTTTTGTATTTTATGCTGCCACCTCCAAATTGGCTCCATATTGCAATAGGGCCACAGCAATCAGCCAAAGAGGTGGAGGGGGACGACTAGGCTGGCCTGGCCGGCCGCCTAGTCGTATTCGATCCCCAGGCATACTTGGTACCACCGCCACTGCACCGCACAATGCATTCCTCCGCATCCCGTTCACTCTTACGAATGATACCAAAAGCGTCTGCTAAGGGTAAATCAGTAGCCTGAATGTATGAACATTGGCCGTGACCTCTAACGATATTTATGGGTGTAATGAAATATTCAGGGATGTCTCGGATCTGTCATCATTTTCTGAGTACCGGTACCCACTCCACGATTTTTAAATGACAGGTCTATGCGTGTTTTTTCAGACGTTAATCTCGGTCACGAACTCGAAAACCCAACGCCTGGCTGAGGTTCCCTCGATCGAATCCAAATCCGCAGCCGATCCCACAGGATCCTGTCCATGGACACCATACCGAAGAAGATTGCCAACTATGTACTGACTGTGTAGCTCTGCCCTAACAGAGCCGGTTTGGTGAAGCGTTGCTGTTCCGCGTCAGATGCACCAAAAGGCGAACGAGGTGCTGCCTTCTACGGCCCATGGCCGTCTCCTCTGGCACGACCGAGAAGTCCTCGATGAGACGCTGTTCATCTCGAAAAATGGCACCGACTAAAAACGTGAACGCCGGGCCAATACGACCTCCACCACCGAAACTTGTGTGGAGTCGAATATCTGCGGATGTCGTTCGTTCCAGACACCTCGGGATCATCGTTGGGACCGGAACCAACGAGCAGTCAAACGCTCTCCCGTGTGTCTTCGACGCTTTCATCAGAAAAATCGATAACGAAAATTTCCCGATTTGATTCAGAGATCTCGCGTTGTCTCCCACGAAAAAAGCATCTGTAGACGAGAAACAGAACAACGGAGTAGTTGCTCTGCGAAATGCTAACATAGTAGCTAATTATGCCCCACTGATATTTGGTTGTTCGGTTAAATGAATAATAATAATAATGATTTGACCTCAACAGATGCTTTTGGCACGAAAGGAGTGAATGAAATGAGGAGGAATGCATTGTGCGGTGCAGTGGCGCTGGTACCAAGTATGCCTGAGGATCGAATACGACTAGGTGGCCGGCCAGGCCAGCCCAGTCGTCCACCTCCACCTCTCTGGCTCATTGCTTTGGCCCTGATGCGTTATGGAGGCAATCTGGAGGTGGCAGCACAAAATGCAAAAACGCCATCGCCTCGAGAGTCCGAACCATAAATCCAGCCTAGCCGTCCCAGCTCGAAGTTCACATCGCTATCCACCACGCCATCCGTCGCCGCGAGGAGCTCAACTGGGAGAGCACATATGAATTTTCCCCGCACGTTTCAACATGTTCCAACATGTGACCCCCCTTCTCGACTACCATTCAGGTTATTTTCAATGCCCAGGCCGCTAGGGCCTTCTACTATGCGGGCAGTCGACGCCATGAAGGAAACAAACGACGTTTAGTGGGCTGAAAAGGCAATTTCTGACAAAATCATTTTCACTCCTTTTTTGGCCCTCCGAAGGCCATTTAGCGGAAATGGACCATAGTTCTCGCCCTGAAAGACCTTTCTTGTTAGTTCCTATTACTTAAGTACGGGACTGTAGGGAGGGATGGTGAAGTCAGAAGATGAAACAATTGGAGGTCATTATGGATGAAAGATAAAGTCATCGGTACTCATCAATCTTGCCAACGGAATACGGCCCCGTATTCGACTTCAATTGGAAATTGTAATGGCGGCTTTGGCCTTGGTGTGTTGCTCATGCAATGACTTGCGGTGGCCAGCCCTTATCCTATCACACTAACTAGGTACCAATTAACAGAGTATCGATCGGGGATTCGAACTTATGATAATGCACGCGTGATAATGCGCCACTTGCCACAAGATCATGATCATGTTTGTGGGAATATATGCTTCGCAATTACCATAAGAATGATGGAATTGCAATAGATCAGTCCACTTAACTACACCCTACAATATCCTAGCCTCAGGATCCCATGTTCAGTTTTTGATGATCGTTCCCACATAAAATAAGCATTCTTTTGAATCGACTGCACTTATGCACATCATCAGATCCATTATACTATTAGAGCAACCGAGAGGTAAACGAATGCACTTCTCGATGGAGACTCAATCCCGACATACTTGTCGAGTTAATGTTCATACTATTACTCTTGTCGATTACAGCGCAGTTTCGTGACAAAACAAAAGAAATATTTCTAGAAGTAAAATGTCAACATTGAACCTTCTTTGTAAATCCCTCAACTCTTCATCCATTTCCGATTCGAGATTGTTCTTCCTTCGAAGGAGCTCATCAAGCGAGAGTTCCCGCAACTGAAATACAAAAAAGCTCAATGTGCATGAAAAAAAACCAAAAGAACCCCTGTGTGCATCTTTGAAATATATCGACACGAAAGACTCGTTTTGAAAAATCTTGGTATTTATAGTATAGTAACAATCTTGGTACATTGTATTATTTGTATAATAGTATCGTGAGCCTCTGAGCTAGCCTATTTTCGACGAATTATGTCTTATGGTTGTAATTATCAGATCAAAATGAGTGGATCGACCAGCCGTTCTCAAGAAGTCAGGTGGGAAACCGAACAGGAAGTTCTACTGAATCGAATATAGGAACCTCATTGCATGACAGCAAGCCACAGGATTTAGATACTGAACAAAGCCGTGGTATCGTCTCCCACCGTATCACCACACTTACCTCAACAGGTGTTTTTTCGCCAAAATTGGAAGACCATATGCGCACGCAGATTGATCACCTATTTATAATAACCCTTTTTCAAAATTGTCGGTTCATTCATACCGGCACTTCGAATGTGGGGACGGGACAGTACACCTCAAAAAAGGAAAGTATTTGCTCCAAAGAGTGCTTCGGTCAGAGTCATCCGATGTGCATAGGACTGCCAAGAATTACGTAATACCATATTGGTTGTTCAGGGTAGAAGGGCATCACTATTTGATCTGTTGAGACGAAAAAATTCTTGAACTAAAACTCCCCGAGTTCCTCAAACGTGCAGGAAAGTCGTGGGTAGTCAACGCAACCCGTAAATATGTTTTGTAAGTGTTTAGGAGACATTTCATAATAAAGAAAAACAATCACATGTATCGATGACCCTAACCTTCACGTAATACCTGTGGACCAATTCCCTCCAAGTGCTTCATCGTAGCACGGCATTGCCACTGCGTTGTACGGTTATCTGTCCTACACAGTGGTATAATCACCTGTATCACCTGTACTCCCGTTGATCGTCGATTTACTCGAGCGAGCGCCAAAAACGTCTCCATTCGTCCCTGTCGCGAGCCAGAGTAGCCCAGTGAATCGTACTCACTCGAAGGACACGTGGCAGAACATTGCTTTCGTTCAGAGCTTTCGTGAAGAAGTCTGGCCATATCGTTGGCGGCCGTCCTGGTGTTCGCTTGACGTCCCGAGGGATCCAGTCCGTAACCGCCCTGGTCCAACGGTCACATGACGCGCCCGGCCCTTCTGATATTCGATTTTGGCGTATCCAACGGCATCTCTGATCTTCTTTCGTCGACGAAGCTCGGAACTCAGGATTCCCTTCTGCGGCTGCGTGTATAGGGCAATTCCGAGCATCGCCCTTTCCACAGCCCATGGAATGACGCTAATTGTATGCTCGTCCTGCTTCCGTAGAGTCCAAGTCTCTGCGGCGTATTTCAAAGCAGGAAGGACCGCAGTATCGAAAAGGTGAGCGCGGAGCCGGACGTTCTTCGTTTTCTTCACTATTTCCTAGCTACGGATCTCCACTGTGAGTTCTCTCTCACTGAAGGATCTCCAGCCAGTTAGTGACGAGGCTACGGAAGGCGTCCCCAGGTGCCAAAAGTCACCGGTACTTGCCCAGAGACGCAAGTGGATTCAGGGGAAGGACTCATTGATTCTGCTGTGCTGACTCGATATACCCTTTGTTTCTCGCAAGCGTATCCACGCATACGTGTGTGGAGCGTCTATGAGTGCAGATGGTAGCCTGTCCATCGACTCGACTCGTTGGGTAGGACCGCTCGGGAGAGGCTGCTAAAATCTCAGGGCTAAAACAGGCTGCCCAAAAGGAGAAGGACTAACCAGGGAAGGGTCCCAAGTCGAAGTACCCATTTGAAATGAGATCTACACTACTAGACATGTTTTTGGATGCTGAGTTCAAATCTGCTTTCCAAATTTGCCAAGCTTTTCTCTGAACGGAGTTGCGAGAGTGGTTTCAGCGAGCTTAAAATAGGAAAACTTAAATTACACGGGTGTGCCTCCCTTCTCAACGGCGGCTTGGTGTATTGGTAAGCGTGACGCTTCATGGGCGAGGGGCTAGGGTTCGGGTCTATATTTTCAGTCGATTTTGAGTTCATGTTCTTTGGAAAATCTGGAACATGATCTGATTGAGTGTTAAAAGTGGTAAATATTCACAACACACCCACGCTCCAAATATGGAAATTTCGCATTATTAGATCCAATAGGAAAGGAGTTACGGCTGAAAAGTACGGCTGAAGAACCACTTCACCAAAGACTTTTGAGCGATACTGTATATTCACAGTAGGATTACTTTTGCCACTTTATGAACAAATGTGATACTCTAACATGAAATTTTTGAAACAAAGAAGCATCCACAGTGGGAGCAACGGATGAAAAAGACTGGTCACAGCCCATCGCTTTACGCTTACTAACCCCAAATCAGAAGGAAAACAGAATTGTGTAGGCGTCCCAAAATCCCCCGGGTGAGTGCTCAAGTAGCCGGCGGCATACCATGAATACAAGAGAAAATGCCCTAAATCTCGATACACAGAACTGAAGGTAGACAAGCGATAGTAAGCGAAGAATGGGGTTTCGTGTGTACACGCAAAAGTTGAGATCACGAGCTACTTCATATGAGGTGGTGCGTTTAACTATATTTTAAAAGGAAATAAGAAATAAGCTTCCATCGGCTGTATCAGCCTCGTGGTAGCCTCGAGAGGGTGTCATTCCCTTCACCAGCTTTCGTGGAGGCAGGTCGCACTGAATAGCTTTCTGGTCTTTGATTGATATCCACGAGTCCACTATCAACAGGGCGTGGTGTTGGTGAGTCCATAGGTGAGTTGCTCATCATATGCATTTTACTCGCTCGGACCTCCAAATTTTGCGCACGGAGGAATCTCCCACTCGGTAACAGGTAGGTAGGTAGGAGAAGGTGTCAGCAAAGCATTAAAAGGTCATGAAACGTGATAAAATCACCATGAGAGTATTTTCTAGCATTAAGAGGTCATGAAGCATCCACAGATATCAACTGTGCGGCCACCGTGTGTGGCAGTTTTTTCACGGCTCCTTAGAACACCAGTTTTTTTCATTTTCCGCGCTAGTTTTGCTTCATCTGATGATCAGCGTTCCTGTTCTCTGTCCACCGGACAACTATACCTGCCGATCCTGTGATTTTGTTATTCGATGGCCTGGAGCTCATCTCAATCTCAGTCTAATTCGGTCGATAGTATAGATTTAGATACGCGGATTGGCACTAATGAAAGTATCGACTTCAGTGATCCGATCCAGTCATGGAGGACATGATCGTGGCGCTGTCCGAAAAAATTCCATGCGAGTCACGCGAATATGTAAAGGCTGAGAAGCGATTAAGAAGCCTAGTGGTCAGCGGTTTGGAGGAGGCACGCACCGGCACATCTAAAACAATCCGAACGTCAGAAACAACTTGAAGGCAAGGTAGCTGATTAGTTTGACGCTTTACAAGTAGTGTCACCCGGTGGAAGTCTATAGAATGAGCAAGCCGGACTCCGCGCGCCCTAGACTTGTTAAGATCCTTTTACCATAGAGAGCTTACTGGCGCACTGCTCTGACAAATGCGAAAAACTTACGTGCTTCGGGTTTCCATAACGTGTTCGTGAGAAAAAGCCTCACAGCTGAGGAACGCAAACGGGAGTTCGATCTGCGCCAGCTAGCAAATGAACGCAATACAGGGAGTGGGTTGTCTACAGGGGCGAGCTAAAGCACATCTCTGACCTACCACAGTCGCAAATCCAGGGAAACGTCTAAGTGAGCATGGCGTAGCGAATTTTTTGAGCTGTTTTCTTTTCAACACTCATTGTATTGTAAACAAAATCTCTGAGTTACTTGCATTTTTAAACATCAGTGAGCCCAATATTGTAGTTCTCACAGAAACTGGTTGAGTTCACGCATTCTGGATTCAGAATTAGCGTTGAAGTTGCCGTGTAATGTATATTGATGCGATCGAAAAAAAGGCAAAGGTGGCGGGGTGTGCTACCTGATTAAGTCGTCGTTGATTTCAAAGCAAAATGATATGCAGTACAATTTAAAAGCCGATATTCGCTGTGTTGAGCTTATGAGCAACAAAGGCTTACCTACTGTGATGCTAATTGCCGTATACCGACCTCCTAGCTTAACATCCACTGAAGATTCCCCGTTGATAGAGGCGCTTTCAGACCTATGCTCTATCCAGCCCAACACAGTTCTACTAGGAGACTTCAATCTCGGCATAATTGGATTACCATGGCACCTTTGATCTCTCCTGCAGCTCCCTTTCTTGACTTCTTTGGGAGCTTTGGCTTTACTTAACACGTCATCCAGCCCACACATGAACACAATGATTGGATCTTGCTTTATCCACAGAATCCATGGTTTCCAAGGTATCTGTTCGTGCCCCCTTTGCAAACTCTGACCACAACAATGTTGCCTTTCGTATTGGCCATAATATATCTCCAGAAAAAAAACTCATCCTGCTCTTGACTTCTTCCGTACAGATTTCCAGAAAATGAATAATTATCTTGAACACATCGATTGCTTTACTGTTTTTGACAAATACACTTCCTCAACTGAAGTCTACGATGGATTCTGCTCCCAGTTCCACTTGGCAATGTCCAAATTTATTCCTACAAAACTTCCTGGTCGTACATGGTTCGAATACCCCTCTCATATTAGGAATTTATTGACCCAGAAAGACGGACTATTCAGAACCAGAGCTTCCCCTCTGTCTGATCTTTGCTATAGAAAGGTTTGCGCTGATCTGAATCATCATCTTAAGAAATTCATGGAAAATCGTGAAAGGCGATACCTGGCCAGAGCCAAACTTAGAGGCAAAAGGCTATTTTATTACATTAATGTGAGGACTAAGGCTCGACCGCTGCTCTCAACTCTCACGGATGGATCCAATAGGTTTTTTGTTACTGTCAAGCAGAAGGCCGATGCCCTAGGGGCTTACTTTGCTAGTGTATTCTCTGATGAGAGCTCTAAAGAAGAAATGCGCTCTGGTAACCCGACTCGCGACTACCGCCGCCTTTCGAGTGTTTGCATCCATCCCAATGACGTTCTCAGGGTC